CATATCTATATTAAGAGAAAAGAAAGAGAAAGAATGTGCTATAAAAGGGTGGGGTGGTCACTGAATTTGAGATCAGAAGACCTGCTCTGTGACATGGGCTAATGACAGGGTCCCTCCACACTGTCATATTCCTTGTCTGGAAAATGAGGGCGATGATTCCATCTGACCTGCTTCCCAGGGGGTTCTGGGAGTGGAATGGTGGACGTTTGTGAAAGCTGAGTGTGCTTACAGACGGGTGCGTGTGCGTGCGTGTGTGTGTGTGTGTGTGTTTGTGTGTGCAGATTTTCACGGTGATCACAGTTCTGACTCTCTCCGGGACTTGTGCTGAAGGAGGTCCAGAGCCTGACCTCTGTCCTGTTCCTCACTGTCCACGTCCCTGTGAACCTTGTATCCTATAGTACTAAGGGGGGTCCTTCTTTTTGGAAGGCAGAAGCCAGGCCCAAGTGCTCTGCCCCTCTCTGCTCCCACCGCCACCCCTAGAGATCTGTGGCCTCCTTATTCTGCTACTCTTTTTTTTTTAAGGTTATTTCTTTTTCAGAAACCCCCCACAGAATAGAGGGGAGCCCTGCCTAGCTTCCACCTCTCTTATATACAGTAGCTTGTTTTATGACTTTGTTTTAAAAACTATTGGCTTAGGGTGCAATAACACAGATGTCTTTGCCTCACAAGAGAACCGTGAATTTCCACTTCTCTCTCCTCCGTGACAGCTCCATTACCTTCCATGGATAGTCTCTTCTTTGGCCCTAGAATAAAAAGGAGAATTTCTTTTAAAAAAAAAATGGCACTTTCTCCCACAATTGTCCCTTACCTTAGTGCCACCGGATCAATAGAGCCGGCGCCCACTCTGCCTCCTTGGGCCCCCGACCCAGTCTTTGGGAGCCTGCCCTGACAGCAGCCTCCTGGAAGCAGAGGAAGACTTAATGCTCGCATTCCCACAGGGGTGCTAAAGCCATGGCAAGAGAAATATCTGTTTTTCCGCGTGCGTCCTGCAGGCGTTTCCGTAAGTGGTGGCAACCCGGCGGTGGGGAAACTTTGTGGGCTGCCTTACTAAATCTTCACCTGCCTGACCTCAGCCTGACAACTTTTTAACACGCGTCGAGAACCGTCAATGTTCTGTGCAGAGCCCAAGGCTCCATCCGCTGCCTCTCTTGCAAATGTCGGAGTCCCGGGTTGCAGGAGAGGTAGGAGCGGGCAGGAAGGCAGATTTACACACACATCACGGCCCCGAGCGAGCGGCGGCAGAGGCGGCCTGTCTCCTGCTCGCATGCAGAACTCTTCCTGCTCTGTAACATGTCAGGCTGTCAGGCTGCCTCTTCCTGTGTGTAAGAGGTAAGGTGTGAGTTTAATTAGCATAGAACAAAATTTCTTACTCTCTAATAATAACACCTTGAATTCTTATGTTACCTGCTCTCTAAGGAGCTCCACGCATTAAAAAAAAAAAAAAAAAAATGCCTGCTTCTTATTTTATCTCTTTGCCTTCCAGAAACAAAGATCACATGCCCATTGCACAGATCCATTACTGAGTCACAAACCCACAGAGGATGCTCAGCTGTGGCCTTCAGGTATGTAGGGAATCTTACTGAATGGAGCAGGTCAAGTGTAAGATAACAGGGAGAAGGAGGATCTGAGCCAACTGGAGAGGGCCAACCATTGACAAGGGGGATCCTAGCTCCAGATGCATATGTAAGAATGCCCACCCGGCATTGCCTTTAGTCCACTTTCCAATGCTACGACAAAATACCTGAGGTAATCCAGTTAAAAGAGGTAAGGTTTATTTTGGCTCTTAGTTTTGGAAGTTTCACTTCATGGTCAGTTGGCCCCGTTGCTTTGGACCTGTGGTGAATCAACACATCATTGGGAGCATGTGGTGGAGGAAGCTGCTCATTTTACGGTGGCCAGGAAGCAAAAAAAAAAAATGAGAGGAGAAGAAGAGGCTGGGGTCCAAATATCCACTTCAAGGGCCTGCCCCCAGCGCCCTCACTTCTTCCCACTGATTCCACCTTCCAATAGCAGGTTCCACCACCTCCCAACAGCAGCAGAGACTGGTGACCAGGCTTTTAATAAGTGGGCCACTAGGCACTAATCCACACCACAGCACCTTCTAGTATTTACATATGTAAATATTGCCTGGAAAAAAAAAA